ATGTTATAAAACTGATCTCAGTTAGTTGTACTTTTCACTTGCCACCTCTCAGATGAAAAATATAAATCCTGGAGTTCAAGGTCTTCACATATTCAATGTATGAATGAGAAGGTGGGAAAAAAAACTATCTTTTCTTTAAGAAAGTGTAAAAAAAAAACCCCAAAAACTATATAACTTGAACACATTAGTGTATGTTGCAAAACCTCCTGCTTTTACTGTACCAGAAAAGACAACATAAATTGAAAATTGATGAATTACTGTAGGTAGGTTCTGAGGTACAGTATGGAAAATTCTTTAGCTATAAAATGTTTCTTTCAACTACCTTCCTTCAGACTGATACTGCAGACATTCAACACAAAGAATTTTAACTTTTGAAGCAAATGTAACCACAATGGTTCTCTTTATTCTTCTTGAAAGAGAAGTATAAGAGTAACTGTATTTATAAACCATTACATGCAATCCTTCATGGCTATTCTTAAGAGAGCTTTAAGTGAAAAACTTATCAAGAACAGAGAACACTGGTTTTCACTTTCATGTATTTATAAGTGTGAAGGAAAGGGTCAAAGGCAAGAGTAGAATTCTCACAATACTTTCCTTGTGAATAACAGCTGAGAAGTCTGGAAAGCAAACTAATTGCTTAAGTTTCACATTATCAACAAAGCTGTCTTTTGAAAGTGAAGTTAAAATCTCCATCATCTGTTATGTTTGATCAAGTTAGTTTTGACTGAAATACTCACACTGTCTAAAAAGAGAGCTTTTTTTTTTAAAGGGTTTCAGAGACACCTAAGAAAATGCTGTTTGACTTCTAAGCTTTTTTTGGGAAAGGACCCAGTAACCGTAAGTACTGCCATCAGAAGAACCTCAACAATGAAACAAATGGTGTCTAGGTAGAAAAAAAAGTACATTGAAACAACAAATATTATCAGATTATTTAGAGCTTCTGCTACCTTAACACTAAACATTGAAAGAACCACAGAATCCATTAGACTGGAAAAGACACCTGAAATTATTGAGTCCAACTACTGACTGAACATGACGTTGTCAACTAGACTGTACCTCCAGTCATTTCTTAAACACCTCCAGGGATGGTAACTCCACTACATCCCTGGGCAGTCCATTCCAATGTTTAACAATCCTTTCAGTTAAGAAATTCCTCCTGATGAATTCCTCTCCATGTCCCACCTGAATCTCCCCAGGCAGAGCTTGAGGCCATTTCCTCTTGTCCATTTGCTGGTTGCCTGGGAGAAAAGACCAACCCCAACCTTGCTACAACCTTCTCCCAAGTAGTTGCAGAGTCACTCCTGAGCCTTGTTTTCTCCAGGCTGAATATCCCCAGCTCCCTCAGCAACAGCCCCAGCTTCCACTGAAAAGTGGGAGCATGTGATTCTATCTCTACATATGGTAAAACAAACAGAATGAATGTTTCAAATCTTAATCCATATCAAAGCATTATCCAACATTCCCCCAAACATGATTTCAATCTGGCTCCTAGGTATTTTAATGAGAAACAATATCTGAAATAGAAAAAGGAAAATTTAAAAAAATATATTACTTGGCATTAGCCTATCCGTGTAATTCTACCACAGACGTCAATTCTCTCTTCAGAGGAATCAAGGTATTTTCTAATCATTATGGGGCTGCTGAAAGCTTTACACAGCAAAACAACTGTAACTTCAGTAAAGACCCTAACAGGTGTAGATCTCTTCCTAAGAGGCAACTATATCATATATATCATATATCAACTATGTCCTTCCTTGGAAAGCCAGATTTCTGCATGCATCCCAGTAAACTATAGATATATACTAAACTTTATATACTATATATACTAAACTTTTCATGCCTCCTGAGTAAAAAGTAGCTTATTCTCCCAATCTCATTTTATTCAGCTAAATCCTAAGCAGCAGTGTTAAAAATGCTATTGTCCAGCAGTCCAACTGCTGTCAATGCTAATATTAATAAAATCTGCTTAAAAGCAGCTTGAATAACCATAAATATACAGCGCAACAGAAGGACCCCAGAACACCTGTGATAGAAAGACGTAGCACCACAGGATTCACAGGAGAACTGTGCTTCTTCAGAAGAATCCCTGAGGCCAGGAAAAAGGTTTTAGATATTCATTGAATACAGATAGTATTAATGTTTGTGCTTAGGAAACTGACTGAAAAAAAAGCTTAATTTGTGTAATACACAGGAACAGAACAGCTTTTTTTTTTTTTTTTAGTATTACTGATTTTAATCTCAAATGAAAGAGCTAACTAAAAATAGCCAAGATAAAGAATCAGAAGTTAGGAGCATAAGAAGGAACATCAGATAATTAAGACAGGAAATGTACATGAAGGAGCAAGAGAATGATGGATGCAAGTTAAAATTTGATATAAAGAAGGAAAAGTACACTAAAAAAGAACCAGAACTCTTCCTGCTCTATGAGCTGGCTATGAATTGTTATCTATGACTGAATACGTTTCTGTTTCACCACATTTATTCTGCTGAGGAATTTGGTGTATCGATCAAAGGCATTATCAGGGATTCTAACATGTGAATTACTACTACCTGTGTTTCCTTGGCAAAACAATGGGGTTTATTTTTGCAATACATTAATTTTGTGAAATTGTTTTAAAGACCATACAGACAGACAAAGAAAGAAAGCAAGCAAGAAAAAAACAAAACAAAACAAAACAACAAAACCTTATCTGCGGATACAGAGGAAAGAGTCTAAAACAAAAGGTCTGTACATATACTGCAGCATTCTCCTGAAGTCAAATATGCTAGAGTTCCCTATCACAGTATTTGGGAATGAAGTTTAGAATTCTTCTCTGAAGAGCATATTTCTCCCTCCAGCTTCACAATAAGCCTTTCAATCACTTTTTAGCTCAGTTCAAGCTCCTCTGTATTTTAGACCCTGGCTTTGTCCTTAGACAAGCCAGTTGTCTGTGGCCTCCTCAGGCAAGGAATAATATGATATCAGTGCTGTACATAGACAGAAAAAAAAGCAGCAGCAGAATAGATCTGATGTCCATGTTGTTAAAATAGCTAACACATAAAGCATTGACAGTTTTCTTTAAGACATATTAAAATCCAGCAAAGTGGATGAACTCTTTGTACATATCACTCAAGAGGAAAATTAAATAGATTATTAAAGTATACAGTATACATACATAAATAAATTATTAAAGTATACAGTATACATACATAAATATTGATCTAAATATTGATCTAAACCACCAAACAACAACCTGAACATTTTTCCAAATCTCAAATTATTTTCTTGAAATCTGGAAAAAGACATATGGGGCTTCTCCTTGGGATTAATAAGCCATGTGTAAGCAAGTACCTCTCACTAGTCCTGTGAAAAGTCAGCCAGCCACCCTCTAACTGGGGATGTAAAATTCTCAGGGTGGGAAAGAGAGCAAGTAGAAATCTATCTCTCCCATTATCATCAAAAACTCAGAGATAAAGGCAGAAAGAACTAGGGATTTAGGCCCTGCTATGGGGACACAAAACAAGGATGTCTTGTCAGTGTTTGAAGCACCCTATGTTTTGAATTCACCAGCTGTTCAAAATAAAATACTTAACTACAAAAGAGAACAGAGTCCAAGTCCCCCTACTGTCCATTTCTAGGTAGACACCTTTTCCCACCCTCAACAGAAAGGAAGGGAAACAAACACAAAGTTTCACAGAAAAAGTAGTGTATTAAAAGTGTTACAAAAGATTCTGGCTTCTGTGGTCTCACAAAGTAAATACTTGGAAGAAGTTGCTACATATAATTTTTGAAAATTAATCAAAGCGACAAGAGAAAAATATAAATCACAAGTGAAAGTGCTTTCACTTAATGCATTTCTCAGAGGTGCTCCAAGGCATAACCTTACTAGGGTAGTAAGAACAAGTAGATTAGAACAGGCCTCGATGTTCAAAGGGCAACTAGATACTGGTGTTGGAATAAATCTGGGAGTGTACACCAGGAAAAACTCTTTCAAAGAAAAATTCCTGGAGTAGAACTTATTTCAGACAGCCTGGAGAACAAGAATTGTTTCTTTAGATTAATTTTCTTACATCTATATAAGGCTATGTAGCACTATACTGTTCTTATAACACTGGTTTCTTGCTCCTAATATCATTCTTTCCCTTCATAGTGCTAACAGATTTCATTTGATAAAGGGAAGATGACTTGGGGCAGAAACAGGCAGAAATTGTTTCTTCATGGTAAAATAGCAGTGTTATAAGATGTCAAGATGCTCAAAGTATCTCAGTTTTGTAAAAAATAGTTGTCATGCACAACCTTTCTCCATCTGTGATCAAGTAATAAAAGCTTTGCCAAAATCTTTGAAGTCTTGTTTTTTGTTTTAAAACTTGATAGTTTGAAGTCCCATCAATAGTTCTCAGGTTTTACTACTTTCTTAAAAGCCTGAGACAAATTCAGTTAGACAGTATGAATCATGGAGCAGAGTGCGAAATAAAAGGAAGAAACTTTGGCCATTATCTGATTTTTAAAAAAGCCTTAATGAATAACCATACAAAAGCTGACTGCACCGAGCAATAATGTCAGCGGTGTACAAGTCTGTGATGTTAAAAAAAATAAGTGACTTCAGTACCTAAATAGGTAACGTGACTTGACACTCCTAACCCAAACCATTCAGAAAGTATTCAATTAGGATAAAAAACCACATAGATCCTAAGGTCTTTAAAGATTTGTAAAGCATGCAAAGAGTATCCAAATCAACCGTAAACACTTGATGTGACAGACATGGTCTAAATAAGAAAGTAAAATAGAGTTTTGTGATACATATATAATGCTAAATCCCACTTAGTTGCAAAGCTTTTCGGAGAGACTGAATAACTTAGTGGTCTTCCCTTAAATTTCTTCATAAAGAAGAAACATGGGGGGAAGTGTGTGGAGAAGACTGCATTCAGTTTTCTAATTAAACTGGCACTATACATCTCCCAAAGAATCATTCCAGTGCCAGACTGTACTATGATGAATGCTTTCTTACATTCACACTCACCATTTTTAAGACTGGAACAGGATTGTAGATCTGACTGCTGTAACACACCTTGGGCCTGCAAAATAGTTATTTACAAAACAGTGTAAATAACAGTGGCTGGCATATGATTGCAGTGCATCTTCAAAAGCTGATGGATGCTAAACCTGACCTAAAGAACTTGAGATTGGGTTGATATTCTGTCATCCCCAAATAACCTGTTCCGATGGCTAATCAACTTGACTATTAAAATGTATGGCTTGGTCCACCTGGCCCATGTACATTAACCAAATGGGGAAGCACTGGCCTAGATATTGCCTAGATACTGGAAATGCATCTCAACCAGCTGAGTACCTCCTCATGACCAGAGATCACCCTGCCTAGAAGATACATTCACCACTGTGGATTTAATTAGTACCTCACCAGGTTCGTATGCTGAGTATTCACTCTCTCAGTGTGGACCCAAGGGACAGCAAAAGAATGCAACTAACACTGCATCTCCATATTAAATAGGTAGTGTCAACTTCTGAAGGTTAAATAGTAAAGGAACAAAAGAAAATAGGAAAATAGAGCTGTAGAACAAACCAGCATATTTTTCCCCAGAATTTGTTCTCACTCTAAAACTTTGAGTCATGAGTAACCAATACCACCTTTCCTTGTATTATTATGGGAACAGAAGTAAGTTAGAAGTTGGTTTTTTTTTTTTGAGAAACAACTTAAACATTGAATTAAGCTTGACATGCTCTCTTCAGAATATTTTTCTGGCTTCCTTTTCCTAGAACATTAAATAGAGCTTTCTTGGTCTTCAGAATTTTAAGTTTGAAAATACTGCAACACTGATCTCACACTGTATGAGGTTTTACATTTTCAGGTGTGTTACGTTAAAAACTATCACTTGTTCTGAATTCTCAACATGAACAGTAAGAAGATGCCAAGACTGGATTTCTTTCAGTGTCACAGAAGTTACTTTCATGTAAATGAGCCAAGTTAGGGCACTGCTCCTTCTACTACAGCTGCAGCTTCTAGCTGTACTGTGTTTCACTGAAATTTAAAGCTAGATAACACAAAGAAGAGAGAAGTCATAGACTCCTAAATAAAACCAAAACTTTTTTTCTTTAGATTACGTAAGGAGAGTAGTGTCCTCATTTGAGAAGCAGAAAAGAGACTTTCTGGATTCCCTGAAAAAAATCAGTTGACTAATTCTTAATACTGCCTTTGATTTTCACCTTCCTTTCTGAAACTTACCATCAGTTTAGGTGATGGTCTTCTCAAGAAAGTACTGTTGCATTTAATTATAGACTGGGCAGGGAGGGAACTGAGACTGTAAAGTTGTAGGGAAATGAAGAAATTAAAAAGACACACCTTTTTACCCTTTCCTCTTCTTTCTGATTAATGTCCTAATTTTATACTTCTGTTATTATTTCTCTAAAGATTGGCTTTTTAGGATTTATTCAACTCAGATTTTTTTATTTGGTTTCTTTAATCTACTTCTGTGATGAGTGCACAGACAGCAGCTAATGGTGAGATATTTTCTGAAGATCTTTAATTGGCAGGAATTATTTTTGTCACTAGTGTGTTTTTGATTTGTTTTATAAGAGGTGTGGAGTTTTAAGAAAATATGCAAAAAGCTTGCACCTTTGTGCATCTTACCAAATCTTTTTAACAGTGCGTTTCTGTTCCAGTTGCATTAGGAACCATAGCAACTGCAGGGAGGGAAGCCGGGTATCAAAGAAGTATTTCAGCTAGTGAAGCAAATCTGTAGTTAGAAGCAAAAACAAAGCTACAATCATGATTAGTTTTCTTTTCACCCTGCTACCTTTCCTGTCCTGCATCTTAACTGGGATGTTCCTGAAAAGCCGCCAATTTGAACAGCAAATTTTTTAATCTTCTTTCCATAGGCTACAGTGACTCTTCTGTGGCAGTGACATTGTCTAGAGCTTCAATATAACTTAGCCCCTTACTTTCAGAATATACATGTATCTTATATACAGATGTATAGGAGTAATCATTGGAGTTGACAGACATACATGATCTCATTTCCTTTGAACATGATGGGACTAAATGCCCCTGCCTCACATGTAGACACTGCATTGTTGACTTCTACATTCTGAAAGAGTGAACTTGAATCTTTTGCCCAGAATAGTGTAATTTCCTTTTCTCTAGGTTTTGCAGGATATCCTCTGTGGGATCAGTATCTTGCTGTACTGTTAGTCCAGGAGTCCAGAAAGGACACCTATGACAGCTAAAACAGTACAGATAGATGCCTGTTGTGCAGCTGAATCAAGCCCTGAATCTCATCCCAATGAACTGCTGTTAACATCTTTGCCTCTAGGAGGGTCACACTGAACTATGTCATTAAACCATTCTGTTCTTAGGCAGTTACCTTTTCTTCTCTTCATGGTGCCCTTCTAACTTCTCACTATTGCATTTTCCATGTTCTGGGCTAGTTTGTACCACACTAACAGCACGGAAAGAGGAAGCAAAATCAAAGTTCTTTAAACCAAAGGGGTCATTAATCTGCCTCACAGTAAGGACAAAGTGCAGTGAGTGGAGGAAGAGCAATCTTTAAATCCTGAATTATAATAAGTACTCTAAAAACATTGTCTTTAAAAGAAAACAGCAGGTTTATAATCCCCAAGTGTAAAAGAAAGGGAGAAAAAAAAAGCCAGCTTAATAAACCATTAAATATAAAATGGAAATATTAAATTAAGAACTAAATCTTTCCCATGGGTGTAATCACTACAAAATTTCCTTAAATATTAGCTTCTACCTAATAACACAATAAAGAAAAAGACTTTGCATAAAACAAATCACAGATTTTAATCCTCTACTCTGAAGGAAACCCTTAAATTAGATGGCTATTTCAATTTATTTTCAAAACAACAAGAGTAAGCCCATGAAGCATCAAGTCTCTCATGGGACTGATCAAAATTGAATTTGCAGTTTCCTGTACTATGCTGACAATCATTTACAATAAAATCGGAATGAGAAAGGGAAATTGTCTGTGGGACCACTGAGCCAGGTAATAGCTTCAGTATAACATGGTCACAGAGCCAAAATTAAATTAAAATGTACACGGAATTTTAATATGGTTGAACTAGGCCTTACTTTGCTTATAGGATTCTGGCCTGCAGCTTTCAAGTAACAGATCTGGAGTGAAAAAAACTACTCACTGGAGTAATCTGGCATTTTACCTTACCAGCAATTTGTTTAAAATAACATAATATTAGAATTGTGTTAGGCAAAACAAATAAAATTAGCTTGAAAACTATTTCAGTTTCAAACTGTTAGGACATAATGGAAACACAAAGGAAAGCCATTTTATGCCTTCAAATTTCTAGTCCTTCTCTGTACATGTACAAACCTTGTAAATTGTAACTACATTATTCCATTGAACAAAACTCAAAAGGCCTCACAGGCACAACATAAAGAACAAGGAATACTTCAAATATTTAATTATTTTCAGATGCCTAACAATAAATAGACAAATATATTTACATAGCCATAATGTATTTTACACAAGTAGGGAACAAAGATTAGTATGCTTCAGTTTAAAAATAACACATTAACTTGATTTGAAAGAAATCTTTTCAGTCATATAGCAAGCCAGGCCCTGCAGAACATCTTTGCCATACTTTGCACAAGTTTATTTTCACAAGCAGCCAGCCCATGGCTGTCACAGTGGTAGTAGTGGAGGGAAATGTCCACTGGAATTTAAATACATATCTCATCATTCTTAAGAGAAGTTAGATAATTTTCTCCCAATAAGAAAATAATATATTTTTTTAAAAGTCCTGTGACCTTAGAGGAATCACTGAAAAGAGTAATGAAATAGATGAGATCTGGACACTGAAAGTATATCCAGCCCAGAGGTCCTACATAACTTGAAAAACACTTATTCTAAAGTGATTCAGGCCTGTGAGTGCAGACTATATTTATAAATTGTACAGATAATTAAAACTACTCACTGGAGCAGTAGCCTTGCTTTGTAGCACACAAGTACCCTAACCACCAAACTACAGGGCTAATTTTTCACTTTATTCTATTACAGTGGATATTAAGTAGGTATACAGATGAAGACAGCTAGAACAGGGAAGAGTTACATACAACTAAATAAATAACCCAGAAAACAGACAACTCTCCTCAGTAAATTCTGCTGGTTTTTTTTAGACACTGTCAAAAACCCCTACCTAAATGGCTACTGTACAAGTACTGAATGGCTATGCAGCTGATCTACAGCAGATCTGTAGTATGCTGTATTGACCTGCAATGCATATGCATTTCAAATGCACTGAAAACTGAATACAAAATGTTCTCTTCCAGAACTCGAGGATCAGCAGATCTCTATCATGGCACTCCTCTAGTTTGCATGGACCTAAGTTCAAGCCTTTAATGCAAAATGAAATTTGTAGCTTTATTAAAATTGGATATTACTCGTATCAATAGCTCTTTTAAAGAATCAAAGTAGAACTACTGATATTGGCTCATGACACATTTTGTATTAATAAGTTTTTTTCATAATCACCGTTAAAATCACTGTCATCTACTTCACTACATGACACACATACCTTTCTGCTTAATTCAAGAAGAACAAAAAGGAAAAACAGATATTCACCTCTTATTTTGCAAATAGCCACACGATAAGCAAAAGCATGAACAACAGATTTGGCAACGTGTTTACAGAACCTTCTTGCACATTTCTACCTCTCAGCAGGAGGGAAGCTCCAAGCAATAAACCGGCTTTCATTTGTATCAGGATAAAAGCAATCACCTCCAAGCAGCTGATAGGTTGGAAACTCAAGTGTGAGCTTACTGCTCAATAACCTGCTTTTGTTGCCAAATTGTACTCACACCCTTGCACTGTTAGATAGGGTGGCTGTAAGGTTTCAGAGAGTAGGGAACTTCTGAGGGCTACTTTGGTGTGCAGAATAGACTCACTGGGGCCCAGCTTCAGATACTCAGTGTAGGTATCTAAACATTTGAAATTTCGCTATGTATCCAAGCTGTCATTACAGTCAATGGTGACACTGGGCTCAGCTCAGTTGTCTAATCATAGGTTTCCACTGACATTTGATAAGTCCTTAGGTCTTCAGCAATAACCTTGGGGTTTTGTGTCCACAGGAGCAAAATTCCCCTCTCAGGTTTATGTGTCCTTTACAGTCCTTTTTGCATATTACCTGGCTTAATTCTCTCTTTTTTATACTTCATCTACTTCAAGTACAGGTATAATTTTTTTACAGGAAAAGTCAGTACTTGGTTTTCTGAATTTTGTAATAATGTATTTTAATGTTTGATTAATTCCAATTTGATGCAATTTTACCCTCCCTCACTTTTCCTTTTTGCTGTTTTGACATGATGGTTTTCTAATTTAAAAAGTCACTTAAAATACAATCAGATTTACCCACTCTAGATGTAAACATACCTATCTTTAAAAATTCCATGTAAGACCAGGTAACGTACCTGCTGGGAAAGCCAACTGGTCTTACCTCTCACAAAGCTATTGAAATGCAGTACATGATTCCACTTCTAAGCAGTATGTGAGGTTCACTGAGATGCAATTTGAAAAAAAAGAGTTAAAAGTAAGACTGTCTTTACTGTAAAAACTGCACAATTCTTTGAATTTCCCATGTAGAATATGTAGCTCATAATAGCAAAAGTATCTGTTGAAGTGCCAGTGTACAGATCTGTTAGTTCTATATACAATAGTTCCACTATAGGACTAGCAATGAAAAAAAAACAAAAAACGTATACGAAGTTATGAACAAATACGTGTTCTTTTAATACTGATGCATAATACTCTAAATTTAAACCCATTCTGCAAGAGTCTTTATGACTGAAGCAATCCATCCCATTATGCTACAGTAAAGAACTCTGTAATCTTCTTGGAGTGAGATTAATGAACAAACCCTTTTTGCTAGAACATAACAGCCACAGATTAATCTTAAAACTAGTTAAAACATTCTAATAACTTAGCTTTTCCTTTTAAATCACATTTTAAACCTGTCCTAAGGCAAATAAAATTCTATTGAGCAGTCCAGTTTAACCCCTGGCCTGAAAGCAGGATTAGTCTTATTTACAGCATAATTCTTGGCAACTGTTTTCTTGTCCAGCTTGTTTCTAAGACATAGAATCCTCAAAATTTTTAACCAAAAGCATTTTAATGTTGTCACTGGAAAATATTTGCTAATATTGAGCCTATATTTTCATTGCTGCAGTACAACACCATTGGGGCTTTATTTACTATAAAGGAGTACAGATAAGCACTTTCTCATGTGTAGGTTTTTTATATGTAGATTTCAGAGCACATTTTTTCTCTCTTCTTTCCAACTGGTCTGTGTCTTTCAAGTACACTACCCAAAACTGAAGGATGTTCTCCAGCTTACCAATGCAAAATATAAGTCTCAATTCACAGATCTCTGCTGTCTTTCTGTTTAAAAATCTTAAAATTGTTGCCTGCTTGACAACAGTATGAAACTGATGACTTCTGTCATCTTTTGATCCATCATTATTCATAGGATTTCTCCTACAGAAAAAAAAATCCATTGCAAGATAGCCCCCTTACTATTATGTCTTCCACTGTTCCTCCCCAGCTAAATGGAGCACTTTGCATTTGTTCCTATTGAACAACAGTTCTTTCACACTTTGCCTCCATTGTGTCAGTACTATTTTGAGTTCTGTCTTTCAACAAGACTTGACTTGCTAACTTTTTGGGTTTTTTCTTTTTCTTAACACAGAATAAAAATAGTAAGTGAAAACTTCCATGCGTATTTGAAAATCTTGGAAATCTAAAAGGCTGCAGGCAATTCTACCTTTGAAATAATACTAAACATTCATTCAAAACCATTAACTTTATACTACCTTCTCTGCTGGAGTTCAGTCTTTCAGACTCCTGTATTTTGTCAGCTATCAGCTTCCCGATGTTCTCAGAATAAGCAGGAAGCAGGCATACATGAAAATGCAAATTTTCTAAGGCCACTGCTCCCAAGGGAATGATGCTTTAAATTTGTACTCCACTTCTTTTTTCAAATGCATAAGAACTACATAAAGCATGAAAAAAATCTAAATCAGCATATGTCTGTACTGATCACTGTGTTACAGAAATATAAACTAAAAAACAAAAATATGAAAAAAAAAAATCATAGTACTCACCAAGTATGAGACTGAACAGTGCATCAACATCAGCTTAATTGTAACTCAGACATTATTGTAACTAGGAGAAATAATTGATGGTAAATGAACAGGCTGAGACTAGAATCCAGGAGCACAAGTGCACACTTGAAAATAACAATTTAAGCAAAGACTGATGTGGTGAAAACTGTTACAGAAGCCCATTAAATCCAGATGGATGGATGGATGGATGGATGGACAGACTGACCGACCTGTATGTGTGCTGTGTCTATCACAGCACACATATAGGCAAAGAAGTATCTAAAGATAAGAATGAGATAGAGTAGAACCAAATCCCTTTGGAATGATAGAAGACATGCTTGCAATACAGAAATAAAACTCAGGATTAATAATGAAACTATAGGTATTAATCTAAATCTCCAGATTTCTGCTCTTACAGCAGTCCCTTAATGCTGTGTTTCATGTATATACAGACATACTGGGCCCAAATCTAAGTTTTATTAGTGTAATGTTTATCCTGCTTTTTTATTATAAAGGATTCAAAATACCATATGAATAGTGTTTTCTGAAGTTAATGAAGTCTGTGTAACAGCTTTGTTCCTTAGACCAACCAGTGGATATAACAACTCTTCTTTGTTATTAAAATTCCCTGCTTCCTCAGTCCAGAGGGGAACATGATCATAGCTGTGGGAAAGGGCTGCAGAGCAACCAAGAAAGAGGAACATAATTCTGGTGAACCACAGGTATTTTTGAGACCTTCATCCCCCAATATAACAGAGTGACAAATGAAGTCTCTCAACCTGTCCACATTTTTGTCTTTTAATAGAACCCTTAAGTTTCATTTAATTAAAAGAAGTTGGGATTCACCACTATTTAGATTTAGGCTTATTTATATCACACTTAAAATATAAAGGATTATGGAGATGAAAAGGAAGAAAATGTTGGAACATCAAAGCAGTTCATACTGCAAATGATCTGAAGGGCAACATATCATTTGAAACCATGAGAGATATAGCAGCTCTAGCTGGAAGTTTTCTGATCTTCAAATCATTCTTCAGAAAACTTCACAAATGGAAAGCAATTGAATCAGTGCCAGGGCACATTTACTTTCAAAAAGATGAACAGAAATTCCATTATTTCTTATGGCTTACCAGAGAAAGCAGCTCAGAAGATTTCAACACATTTTCTAATTCACACAATTTATTTTAGCTACTGACTAAAACTTTATCCTATTTAAATGTAATAATTGTACTGTGATCTCAAACAATACAGTGCAACAATGTGACTTCATTTAATTCTGCTCTAGGATAATGTAGAAATTGATCTACTGTGTAGCAATAATTTCACAGAAAAATGTGAAACTGCATCAAGAAAGCCTGATTCAATATACTTCAGAACTTACATGGCAAAGGTATTAAATTTTTCCTACACAGTAGAAAGTGTCAGGTAATGCTGTATTGAAGAGTGCAGTTTATTACCTATTGCATACAGACACACACTTGCCAAGTCCACTGTTTCTGTGACAGGCAGCCCGATTCAAAAATGATTGATCCTTCCATATTTATAAAGGTATACATTTATAAGCTACAGTACTACAGTTGCCAAATAGAATAGCACAAAAAAAAGTCTATTTGATTTGGACTCCAAAACAAAGTTCTAATCTCAAAACTTCCCTTTCAACCAGATAAGCTGTTATCTTGTTCCATGTCATACGTGGCCACTTTTTAAAAAGTTATAAGCTCTCTTGTGGAAAAACAGTGAAGTGACACAAGATCTGATGTTCTGTTGCGCTCCATCTACCACAGATCACCAGATTTTTAGATGCCTATTCAATTCCTCTCCAAATTTTAGAGATTGTAGGGATTTCTTTATTTCTCTAAACAAAACACAGCATTGCAATGTGACTACACTGTAACCCTGGTGGCATTTCTTAATCTTTTGATTACAGGTATAGACAAAGGTCAGTGTGAACTTTGAGTAACATCTAAGAACAGTACAAAACGAGTGTGTACATATTGAGAGGCATTTACAGTATGTAAATGTAAGGTTTAAAAAGGATTTGGGTTTATGGTTACTAGGATAGAGATGTTATAGCAATCCCTGTACAGCAGCAACAATCTCTTCCTCAAATATTAAGATAAGAAATACTAAAAATCAGAAATGTGCAAGAATATTCTAACAAAATGACTGTCTTGAAACTAAATCATCATACAGCTAAAGTTCTATAGTCACTTTTCTCAAGGGAAAAATGATTTATTGCTCTCCATAATGTATCTCCCACTTAACAGATTTCTAAATCTTATTTAACTTATTTAACTATTTAACTAATTGTCACCCATCCATCTGTTGCCTCACCATTCCTCAAAACTATTAAAAATAAATAGATTCACAACAAAAAAGAAAACACACATTCTGAAACACCCCAAATATAAGGAAAAAACTGTAACAGTACTCAGTAGGACCCCATACACAACTGGAGCAATATGCACCATGCAGTTAGACACGTCCTAAGAGACATGAAATTTTTGCAACATTTGAAAATTGCCAATAGTTACTGTCAGGAGGCAGCACTTACCACAATAGAGAGCCACAGAAATTTCACGAACATTAAAAGGTGACAGAGATATGTCAATATATATAGATGAATTTACTCTCATACAAAGACATATTCACACACATAACAAGTTAATAGACAGACAGGCAGACAGCTGCCTCATTTCACCAAAACAGTCACCATAAAGTCCATGGTAGTTAGACACCCTGAAGACTTGAGGTCTCTAGACTGTATTTAAAGCTGAATGAAAACACACCTCTGAACACCTCCATAGTCAGATACAGATCACTTATTTTAACTGCCTACTTCACTCTACTGAATATGTAAGAAACTGAGACAAAACATAAGCTATTTGTTCTGTTGGGATCTAGTCCCTTTAAGGACAGCCTCAACACACTTTGAGAAGAGGCAGGTGACAGCAGTGACAAAATCCATAACATCTTCTCCCCTCTCTACACACTCCAACAATTCCCATTCACATTTTCTGCACAACTCCTGAGATATGTCTAGTTGCCAAAGTAGCAGAAGAGATAATCACACTCATTCCTAGCCGCCCAGCCCAGCCTCATCTAAACATAAAAGAACGTCTAAATATCTGACATAATGGCACCCTGCCATACTATAATTCAGATTGTAAAGGACCTCAAAGAGGTCTCCAGACCAAAGTCCTGCTCAAAGCAGGGTCAAAACTGAATTTCGATCAGATACAATGTCTTATTATGTTCCTAGAATTCCAAGCTGAAAAAACATCAGCAACATCTTACTATTGTTTCTGAATCTGAAATCATTTAGCTTTAATTTTAGTTAGCAATGGCTTCAGTTCTTCAAAAATTAGTGATCTGTTCAATAGCATGTTTTTCCACAAATAATTACTCCAAGGTTAAACAAGGTTTTAAATCTAAATAATACCAGAATCCATGCAACATTCTCTCTGTTGTACTTCTTTCTTTAAAGGAAAAAAAAGACAGAACTACTAAAGACTAAAATATGTACTCTGAAAATATGTCTAGTGTATAAGGTGTATAAAATAGATTTATCTTTTAAGTATATGCTTTGAAAAGTATTTGTTTAAATGCAACTGATGGACCAAAGACAGCAGACCAAATTTAACTCTAGATTAACTCCTATGGTACCAAGAAAAATATAATGCACAGAAGCTGAAAGGAAGATCAAAGGCAGAAGAGAGATGGAAAGATTTCTTTGTGCATTTTACCAATGGCTGCCTGACTGTAACACCCTTTGACAGCTGCGTTAGGCAGGCTAAATGGCAAAATTCCCAAAAGCTGGAGAGCAATTCACAACTTCAGCTTGTTTTTAGCATTAGACAGCCTAAATTTAAAAAAAAAAAGGGGAGGCCTCAGGATTCCAAAGTCAACTTTGCATTTTAGGACCCCATTCTGCTAATTATTTCAGCATCACAGGTTAAAAACAAGAGAGCTGTCAGAAGGACAACTTCCTAAGCCTGTATGAAACCACCATGTTATCCTTTCCAATCAAGTGGGCAAAAAGGTTAGTAAGTACATATTAGGAGACAAATGACAAGGCTTTAAGGGCTTTGCTCTCAACACATGTGAATTCTCTATCTCTTTCTACCATATACAACCTCCTTTTTCTACTATTTTCACATCTTCTCAGCTCCTTAACCAATTTCTGCATTAACTTATGCCTAATTAAATCCAAAGGGGACTAATAGTACATGAAGTGTAATCACAAAAAGGGAAATCCCACCATGAGTCCAATTATTTATCAGGTAACCTCCTGTTGTTTATTAAAACAACTACTGCTCAACTTGCAATTTTTTTTTAAAAATTATATTTAGAAACTTGAAAGCCTTTAATATTAGATCTCAAAAAAGAACTTCAAAATCTCAAAAACAAACTACCAAATAATGTCTACTAAAGAAAGACAAAGAATATAGTGGATGGAAATAGTGGTATAACAAAATTCTCTCTTTTGTAGCACTCCAGGGATTAATTTTGAATTTCTGTATGGCACAAGTTAAAGAAGTTAAAGAGGAATGTAAAGCTACAGGTTTGCAATTAAAATCAAAGCATCTTACTAGAATGATATCTTCCTTTTTCTTACTTTATCTTACTTTTTCAAATGTAATTTTTAAAAGCCAAAAATTCCAAAAGTAACACAGTTTCTAATCACCTGCACTATTTAGTACTCCTTATTTGAAAGCATAAAAGCATAGGAAGAAGCTAAAAATTAACATATAACTTTTATTACATCATAAATAATCAAAGATGAAAATCAAGAAAAGTATGAATAAGTTTGGAAACAAAAAGCAGAAAGCTTTACCTTGAAAAGCAGCTGCATTATGAGATATTAAAAATTTTAATGTAGCACTTGATGTTTGAAGCACTTGCTGCATGTCTTGCTTTGCTGCAGTCTGATACCTTTCTTCCATCCTCTTGGTACAGCATGTTGGATTTTTAGAAGTACAAACCTGGAGATCAACACCTAAGGAAAAGGCAGTAACATTGATTAATCTAAAACAGAAGTATGCAAAACACAAACACGTAGAAAACAATTACCTTTTTTTTTTTTTCACATGGGTACTGACACATAAAAGAAATACCCAAAGCTTTAAAACATTTCAACAGAAGGGGATACTAATTAAAATTCTGTGGGAAGAGAACACTTATTACAATTAATGAAAGTCACATAATATAACTTCCCTGACAATGTAATCTTGTTGCAGCTGTGAATATTGCTAACTACTACTGGTAAAATGTACTAAATATGCACTGTACATCACAGATGTCCTGCCCCTGGGAACACTCAAGATGTGGCTAGATGGGGCTCTGGGCAACCAGATCTAGTTGAAGATGTCCCTGCTCATTGCATTGCTCATTTAGAAGACCTAGATGACCTTCAGAAGTTTCTTCCAACACAAACTGTTCTGTGATTCTATGATCCTCTACAATACTGCTGCTGGAGCAGCTCATGGCTGGATGTGCTTCTGTAAACCTTGGAATAGAAAAAGCTAACTACTTCCAAACATTATAAACTCACCACCAATGGAAGCCCATTCCTGACAGGTTCATAATGAACACACTTGCATTAACTTCTAAATGGAGCAGCCCTAACTTCCAGTCTAATCTCACTTACTGTGTCTTTCTCTAATGTCAAACATTCCCATGAATCCATGACACCAACTCCCTACCTCCCTAACAGGTTGGGAGACATTTCTGCAAAGGAGTAATTTTTTTAAATTTTGGGCATGCTGAAATCCCAGAGGAAAACTTCAGTACTTTTATAACTTTACAACTGAAGCATAATCAAGCATAAAAAGCATTATTCATCTTCCTTGTTATCATGTGGTATTCAAAATCTTTTTTTTTTTTAATGCTGTATCTAAGCAATGTTTTCTAATATAAAGAACAAACATATCATGAAAAAATAAACACGAGAATTTAAATTTTATTAATACAAAATTTAATATCCAATCCAAATTTTGCTCTCAATGCTATTTCACTGACAGATATGACAAGACTTCACAGACACATAGTGATAAACTTATTTTCATCTGCATGACCTTTCAACTTCTACATTTTAATTATTTTACATTACATTTTAATTATTAACAAATAATATACAGGGTAGCTGCTCGCATACAGTTCCCTGTGTACACAGGCACAGACATGAATAATACTTGTCTAATATTAAAATGAAATAACCTAAAAATTAGCTCTATTACCCAAACTTTTCTTAGTATTTTAAACAATTGTTAGGCACTGCTTAGCTTTCAAACTTTAGCCTCCTGTAAAGCAGAAGCTAATTTGAAACTTTATTGAGGCTTTACGGACTTAATTATAGCTTCAAGAAGACACACTTTCAGCAAAACCCTAAAATAATAATGCATATTTGTGTATGGCTTCAGATGACTCTTCAGTATTACTTTATTCCCTTGATTTTATGGACAATATTTTTTTAAGCAACATTTTTAACATGGATCTCATTCCCAACCCTAACAGAATTTTGTTTTATAGTTTTAAGACTGCTAATCATATACATATAAAGTACATTTTATTTACCTACTTTTGTTCCAGCTCATTAAACACAGCTGCTTTCATTGGCCAGAAGAAAGTAACTGAATACAACATACAAAGAGCCCAACTGACTAAAAATTGAATTATTTGTCAAAACTCACAGAGTGGTTTTGTAGTTGATTTTTAGAGAACTGCAGAACAAGGAGCAGTTCTTACATAGTGTTTCAGAAGACACATAAAACAGAAAGTGAAACAGGTCCTTCCATTTCAGTACAAGCAATATTAAAAAATCCACACAACTTTTCTGAGTTGTCATATCTAAAAAACTTTCCATCTTCCACAAGAATTGTTTTATCAATAACCAATTTTGAAATAGAGGGAGAAAACACTTTTTACTCAGAAAAGGCATACTGGCTATTTTCAGTACCAAATTCTAATGGCTCTACACTGTGATCCACTTTGAGACAAGATCACAAGACAGCTAGAAGTGAAATGCCTTAGCCTGTAATAAAAATACATTGAAGTAAACAATTACACTGTATGAAAGATTTTAGAACTGAAAATTATCTAGACGAATCTAGGAAAGACAGTTTGGGAAGAAAATATAATTTTTTCTGAGGTGTAAGTCTACCTACCTGGAACTGATTTCAAATTTTTATTTGTGGTCTCAGCTGTATAAATCTGTATTTTCAGTACCTTGAACTAAACAAATGCTGAAAAGATGAGGACATTAACTGCCAGGAAGTGAAAATACCAGATCTGTGGCAAATTTCTGCATATTTAGACTTCCAAGAGATCAAATCCAGGGTCTGAAAAAATCCCAAAACAGATTTAGGATTGATAAACAGTCTTCCAGAAGCCAGCACTGAAATGCTGTATGGCTTGAAAGCAATTGTCAAATCAGTGGTTTATTTCAAAATGGATTTGGAACCTGTATCACACGTAAATCCTTCTCATGCTTATCCTTTAACATTTATTAACTTATTTTTGTTACAAGCACCACTCCAGATTTAGCATTACTTGCTATCACTATGAGTGCTGTAAAGTACTTGAGCTTTGCTCAGTAAAAGAAGATGAGGATCAGCCTCAAGCACCTGGCCCTGACTGTCGATACTGTTGAACTATCACCTCCTTTCTTTCTGTGGTTCTATTCAGCAGGCGCTAGTATTTCTCTCACCTGCACTTCAAGAGATGGTGCATTCTATCTACTGCTTTCAAATGACACTCCAGAGAGCACTGCAGTACAAGTTTGGCTCCTTCCTTATACACTGCAAGCTCATCTTCCTGCCTACTAAGAAGCACCCTAGCAAGGTGAAGCCATCCCTCCAAACACCCACACTACAGCTCACAGAATAAAACACGCTGTCCTGTCCAAAAGCCCTCTTATTTCTGAGACTGCCTGAATTTCGGGGCAGGGGAACCCACAGTGTCTTGGCATCACACAAGCATCATACTGGTCCCTCAAGGAGATTCAAGAGACAATCCCATGGAGTGAGGACAGTCCATTCCTTCTGCAGGACACCAGTCTTAAGCAATGTCGGCATGACCCTGTCTGTTCCACTCAGCATGAGATTCAGGAGGCAGTACTCTGTCTTCTTGAGCTGCACCACCTTTCAGGCCAACCCAGCTAGGTAAGTCCTAAGACTCCTGAGCACTGATGACTTCCTAGAGAAGTTGAAAGATAGGAGACTGACATAGGGGAATTGCTATACAGCTGAGCCCAATTTTTTGTTGCTTTTAATCTCCAAATATTGTCAAATTTTCTTCACGGTAATCATTCTGTGGATCTAGAGGTGAAATGTTCACACACACACAAAATTATGTTGTTGGCGACAGTCCTTTCAAAAACAGATGTGATACAATGAACATCAGTAACTGATTTGACAGAACAATTCACTTTCTGTCTCTGACTAAATCATTTTCCAGAGCTCTGAATGTCTGTTAAACAAATAGAGCAATTAGAAGTGTCCCTGCCTCCATACAACAAACAGAAAAAAAAAATTAATTTGACTTGAGGTAGAACCAAGATCCAAATGACCTGAATGTAAATTATACTAGAAACCCAAATTAAAATTCCAATATGATCTTGGAATTGCATTAAAGTAACCTGCTAGATTTTAAACTGACTTCTATTGTTACTTTAAGGGGAATTAGGAAGAATATTTTAATTTGAATTAACAATAGTACCACAGACCAACTTTTTCTGACATTATCTCATCCTTCCAGCATGGTTTTTCTCATTTATTCAGTTTCATATTCATAATGATTCTCTACCAAAAAGCCTTCGCAATAAAATTTATACTAATCACAGTCTTCACTCTGTTTTATGCTTCTTGTTCTCATAATTGCATACATGATCTCCCAGCATTTGCTGAAAAGAAGCCTAGATTGATTCCTGGAAAAAAAAAACAACCCAAAACCAAAAAAGCAAACAAACAGAAACCAACCAAAAAACAAACTGCTGAAAAAAAAATCTCCTTTTTACCCTGAGTTCACTGGGAATTGTTTGATTCTAAAGTGACAGCAAATGTAACATTTTTCAATAAGCTACAGAATTCAGCTTTTTGGTGCAAACAGAAGCCTGAAGGTTTGTTCAACTACCAGAGACTCTCTGTTAAGAAGGCAAGAGTGAATGGTTTACCAGCCATCCCACTCTGCTCTTGCTAAAATCATATCATAGAATGGTTTGGGTTGGAAAGACCTTACAGAATACCTAGTTCCAACCCTCTGCCATGAGAAGGGACATCTTTCATTAGACCAGGTTGTTCAAAGCCCCATCAAGCTTGGTCTTAAACACTTTCAGGGACTGGGGATCCACAATTTCCTGTTCTACGCGTTCTGAGAGAAAGGAACCAGAAAAATATTACTTGCAACCAAGATAACAGAATAAGAGCTCAGAGCTCCCATTTAATCTGTCTGAAAAAAAAAAAAAAATAAGCTGCTGAAATTAGCTAAAAGCTCTAGATTTACTAGCATATAGGGTAAAAGAGTGGAAGTCTTCAAGAAAGTTGCTTAGGTTACAATACCAGAAAGGTTATACAATATCTTGAACACAAGAAATAAAAACATGTAAAAAAGTATTTTGCAGACAACAATATTTTTTTCAAATAATCCAAGTCATATTGATTATCCAGAATAAAATAAAGAAGTCCAAACCTAATCTTTGACTACTTTTCATATTTATTTCATTCTTCATACAGCAAAGAAGTGTCTTAGGATTTTTAATTACTGAGGTTATTCTGTACAGTCCCACCAAAAATGTACTTGTAGCACAAAACCAGACAAGAAAAAAAAAACCAAAGTATTTTTGCAACTAACATTTAAAATCAGCATGAATGCAATAAATGTTCCAATATAGCATGTGATGGAACTGAGCATAAGTCTGCACTATAGTTCCCAAATCACATTTACAAAACACCAAGAACAGCTAGTCAAATGTCGTGATTGCTAGGGGTAGCAATAAG